ACCCCTTGAGACCAATTTAATAATAATAATGATTGAAAAAAACCTCACTGCCACCACCCAATGATTTAACTTGTCACACCCCAGCAATGCACTTGGACACTGCTGGGCCTTATACTGGTAACCTACAATCAGACAGACACTAGCCAAACTAAGGCTATTAAAAAGAATTAAGAGGCAAATATTGAAGAAAAAGGTTTTATTTTAAAGAAGGCACCCTAAAGAAAGAAATATGGAAGACCACTGGACCTCCAGGCACAAAATTCCTCATAACTTCCAGTACCTGTTCCCACAGGAAAAAAGGCCCTGATAAATGGAGGGACTCCCATTTATCACACTTATACATGAGTATATACAGTAATTGCCTTGGTCCATAAGAAGCTATTAAATCTTTAGTAAAAATCGAGCCAGGGTGGTATAGTGGTTTGAACGTTGGACTATGATCCTGGAGACCAGGGTTTGAATCTCTGTTCAGCCATGAAAGCCCAGTGGGTGACCTTGGGCAAGTCACACTCTCTCAAAGGCAAATAAAAGGCAAACCCATCTGAGCAAATCTTGCTAAGAAAACCCTGTGATAGGGTCACCTTAGATTGGAAACGACTTAAAGGCACACAACAACAACAAATGCCTATAAGGAAGTCCCAGAATAATATTTTCCTGAAAACGGCATACAATAATTGCAGCGTATCGGGGAGGAAAACTACTTACAGGGCTAATATGTTAATTAATAGGGGTTGCTAGGTGTATTCTAGATAAGTCTAACACTCAACATGTCATCCCACCTTTAAAAATAGTACCTCTGAATCTCATTCAACTCAAGATGAACTGAAACCAAGAAGTATGAGTCATTCTGTGTAGAAACAGTGAAACATAAGGTGAGTTTAATAAAAGCAAAATCTTTAAGTAGATTAGCAGACAGTCATGCAATACTCCTTTGGTCATGGTAAAATGACTACATTAAACTGTTTTGAGTGCATTCCTTTTTTTAAAAAATCAAACAATTCAAAAAATATTGTAAACTTTAAAATATGCTGTATGAGTTCCAGTGCCTTAATATATTAGTTACTTAAATTAAGAAAAGCTTTTATAGTAATTTGTTCAAATATAATATTTAAAACATAATAAAATAATAATAATAATAATAATAATAATAATAATAATAATAATAATAATAATAATAATTTTATTTATATACCACCTGGTGGTGAACCAATCTGTGTGCTCATTTATTCCCCCCCCCATGTGTATTTCAGTTCTAGAGCTTTTTAGAAATGGAAGAAAACTTGCAAATATTTATATAATGGCAACACTAACATGTGCACTTTTTAAATGTTGTTTACTAAATACAGTGTGTGCCATACATGGGCGTGCCATACACAGCTTTCATCTTATGAGGAAGGAAAGCTGCAGGAGAAACAATGGCACGCACACCCATGCCATCTGCGAGAGCGCACCCCCATTAAAACAAATGGGGTTTGAGCGTTTTTCCTCATAGCCAGGGTGTGTATGTCCGGAACATATCCCCCACGTATGGGATGGGCCCAGTGTATAAGTCAAGTAATCATGATAATCTTACCCTTCTTGATTTGGAAAACCTGTGTTTTTGGATTCAACATTTTTCAGATTTTATGGCATTTTTGTACTCCTATGGGTTTTGCTGTAGATTTTACTTTGTGATTGATTTTCCAGTGTATTACTTTTATGGTTTTATTACCCTGCGCATATTTCTTTCTTTTGCCATTATTAGAAGCCAGCCAGAGAACCTATGCTAATTTGTGGAAATAATGTTTTCATGATTTGTAGAAAAATTCACAAGGCTAAATACAATAGATATTGCACTTCATAATGGAGAATGTCAGTCATTGCCTCTTGGTTACAGATAAGCAGCTGTTTGAAAGTCAAGTGCATGAAGGCTATTCTCAAAAGACAGAGTGTAAATGATAAAAAGTTAAGTTTGTAAGGTATGATCACATTTTATATAAAAGTCAGTACAATTGTGAAAAATGGTTACTCAGATTGCATCCATGTGTCACTAAACATTTTTTCCATATATCCGTTCTTTTATATGTTTCCTGGCAGCTTCAATATCAATAATGTACAACAGGTCTGGGGGTATCTTATAATTATCCATCAGAGATTCACACTGCATAAACCAGCTGCTAACTTGCAGCTGCTCCATCAGGTATTTTTAAAGTAGTCCATTATCTGGCACTTGGTATTGCCTGACATTTCCACAGCTGAGGTCATCCCAAACAGGACAACCAGAGTACCACAAGTATATAGTATGGTCTCAGAACTGATTTTCCATGTTCTCAATAGAGCTTAAACTTGTCCAGTCCCTCTCCCTCCTCCCCCTTTTCAATATGGTTCAATACATTTTCTGGCCACAGTCTTTCCCTTTAAGGATTTTTAAGAAAAGGAACTACCACATTTCCTTCCTTGCCATAGGTGAAATTTAGAATTACATCTGCCAATTTAAGAGTTGTTAAACTTATGACTGAAGTATGCCCATTCCCAGAGTGTCTTATTAGATTGCATCAACCAAGGAGGTAGAGATGATTAACCTGACAACAGGGGCTCTGCTCTTCCCTCCCTCCCTTTTTTATTTTTATTTTTTTGCAGAATCACTCTCTGAACAAGGTTGGCTCTCTTCTGGAAAAGTATTTGTCACTGAAGCAAGAACAAAATGTCAGATCTAGAATATAAGCAATATATGAAAGCTAAAATTATAACAGAAGCAAAGACCATACCTGAACTATAAGTCAATCTCCTTGCAATAACTATTCTCACACTTGACAATATCAGCTTGGAGAGTTGACAACCTAGGTGATAACTCTAATCACTGACCTGGTTTGCAATAGGAACACTAGAAGGCCTTTGCAGACTGCTAGAAATAGTGCAAATTGAGTCCACTTTAAGGGTTAGGGTTAGGGAATCATGGGAACTGTATTTTATTGTGGTACCAGAGCTCTCTGACAGAGAAGGCTCAATGTCTCAGAAAAAAACACAATTCCCATGATTCCCTAGCACTAACCCTAACCCTTTTAAGTGGACTCAATTTGCACTATTTCTGGCAGTCTGCAAAGGCCTAGAACATAAGGAAAAGATCCCTCTTCTGCATGAAGCAATGAAGAAAATCTAAACAAGTTCCAGAACACTGACTTATCAACTTACCTGTAACAGAATGATCCAATGCTACTTGAAAGTTGGGATGAGAAAAGAACAGGTGGAGTCTCAGATGGTTTAAATGTTTCTTCTTTCAAAACATAGTTTTTATTGTTGTTGCAAATAAAAACAACAATCACCACACATGTGTGCACATGTTTGTGTTATATAATGCAAGTTAAGCAGAGATTTTAAAATCTTTATTGTTTTGGAGTGACATGATGGAACATGAGCTTCTTTTTGTAGTGAAGTTTAACTGGATTGGCTTTGTAACTATATTTGCCTGATTTATTATATACAAAATGAATAAGAAAAAGAAAACTATTTACTGTCACTGCCAGTTTTATTAGCACAACAGAATCTAGAGTTTCCCATGCATACTCTTATGGTGATAAATTTAAATACCAAAAGTAGGAGACCCAAGGGAACTATGACCTACTTCTGCCAATAAGACTATTTTCACAAACAGCTTCTGGATAGCTGGCAGAAGAAAGCTTAAAAGGCACTTTATTGCATATGACATCTTAGTAGTAAATGAACATGAAAACCAATGAGGAAATCTCTTTTTTTCCATTTCTTCATTTTAACTTTCTAATATACCTACACATTTCCCAAGAGGCCAAGAAAAATAATGATTTCACCGATTCCATGTATACCACTCAAAGAATGTTTGCCACTTCCCTAGGTGAAGTGAAGAATTTCTATAGTACCAAAACTGAATGAAATCAAGGAGAAAACATAGAACAGTACATTTACAGATGGTTTATGCAGAACACCATTTAAAACTGAAACTCCACCATCAAATTCCATTCATCTTTAATGGCACTAGAGAATGAGATAAGCCATCTGATCAACCAAAAAAGGTTTCAAATCAATTTTAAACCCACTCACAGCTCACTGCAACATCTTTTTTTTTGCCATTGTATCACTGTTGACTCATTTTGGCTACTAAGATCCTTTTCACATATACTGTTGTGAAATTGCTGCCATCTATCCTACATTCATACATCTGATATTTCTTGCTTAAATGTCGAAGCTTACATTTATCCCTACTGAAATTCATACAGCTAGTTTTATCCCAGTTCTCCAATATGTTAAAGTTATCCTGAATCCTCATGCATTGACTTCAGGCCTTTGCAGACTGCCAGAAATAGTGCAAATTGAGTCCACTTTAACTGTCCTGGCTCAGTGCTAGGGAATCATGGGAACTGTATTTTTTTCTGAGACACTGAGCCTCTCTGTCAGAGAGCTCTGGTGCCACAATAAACTACAGTTCCCATGATTCCCTAGCAGTGAGCCAGGGCAGTTAAAGTGGACTCAATTTGCACTATTTCTGGCAGTCTGCTAAGGTCTCCCAATTTGGTGCTATATACAAATCTTATCTGCATTATCCCTATTACTTCATCCAGACCCTTTGTAAAGATGATGAACACTAATCGTAAGTCAGCACCCTGTGACAGCCCACCTGTCATGTCTCTCTAGGAGAAGGAGAAACTACTGGTGACCACTCTTGGCATTTGATCTGTCACCAACCTAAAAATCCACCTAATAGCAGCATCGCTAGCCCACATTTCACCTGCTTGTTAGCAATGATATCACGAGGAACCTTGTAGAAAGCCATACTGAAATAAAGTTACACTCTATCCACAGCATTTGACTAAAATACCAGGCTTGTAACTTGGTCAAAAGAGAGGCAGTATTAGTTTTCATGACTTGTTTTTGCTCACTCTTAAACAGATTATTGTCTACTGTCAAGTACTCCCAAATCCACTGTTTAACAATCTGTTCTAGAACATTTTTCAGGTATCCATGCCCAACTGGACCAATGACCACCAGACTAAATAGTAATTCGCATAATCATGATAGGGACAACATTACCTTGCCTCAAATCTAAGGGACCTCGCCTGTTCTCCAAGAATTCTCAAAGATTACACAGTGGGCCCTTCCTATATGTGTGGAATCTGTTATGGACCACCATCACCCCTCATAAGGCAAAAAAATGTGGGACCTTGAGTCCTGTTTGTTTTAATGGATGCACACTCTCATGGGCACACACCCCATTCATGGCTCGCCTTCCGTGTGACCTTGAGTCTGCGTATGGCAAGCCTGTGTATGGCTGTATATATGCTTGTGTGATGTACACAAAAACTCTTGAAATTACTTCTGTAAACTTCCTTAGTAACCTTAGACACTGTTCTTCTAGCCCTAGATAAGTGAATTCATTACCTATCTTCAGCTGTAACTCTGTTATTGCATCATTTATTCTATGTTCATCAAACTGAGCAGTTTTCCTTCTAGGAGAAAACAGAAGCA